CTAACCACTATCCTGCTTTGGTCACAAACTTGGTGGGAGGCCTGGGCCGAACAGGGAGGAACACTAGAGCTTTGTGGAGCAAGCTGTAGGGGCTGCTGCTGGATGGCTGAGGCACAGCTGTCCCCAGATGCCCACTACCAAAGACTCTACAGGGTCTGAGGCAGATGCCACCCTGGCCTGGGGTCAGGGAAAGGAATGTAGACTTTGGCTGACTGAAGAGAGGAAGTCTGGGCACCTAGGGAAGGCCATTGCCAGGCAGCAGCATGGGAAGTGCCAGTCTGACAGCAGCCTGGGAGGTCTTAGAACATTTATAATGTCAAGAGCATCCAGAAACTACAGAGACACAGAGGGCAAGGACCACCTGGTGGAAGTCTTATTTTCAGTTGAGAGTGGTGGTGATCAAGTTGGATTAGGGATGGGAATGCATCAGCGTGAGCCTAGAATTTTCCATATCCCAGTTCTGATAGACTTTAGAACGTCACGCTTTTTACTGGGTCTTTTTCATTACCATGAGAAACAGGACATTTTCCCTGTCCTGCCTCTCACTGGGTTGCTGTGACAGCCACACACGGAAAGTTTGTCAGTTCTAAAATTCCAAAAAGGTGTGAAGTTTTGGACTAGCTAGACACTGTGTCCCTTTCCTCTTGTCAAAATGCTTCCACGCTGTAGCACAGAACTCAGAAATTTTACATGTAGTAAATACTAAAAACCAAACCCAAACAAAAAATAATCTCAGACAAATCAACAACAAAACCAATGACAAATGCAAGTCATCACTGAACAAACATCTCAGCAGAATGGCTGCTGTTGCAGTGAATGGCGATGCCTGTGCATTTGTTGCCTTCTTCTCTTCCTATAGACAGGATAAAGCTCTTCCTATAGACAGAATAAAGATCTTCCTGTAGACAGATAAATCTCTTCCTATAGACAGGATAGAGCTCTTCCTATAGACGGGATAGAGCTCTTCCTATAGATGGATAAAGTTCTTCCTATAGACGGGATAGAGCTCTTCCTATAGACAGGATAAAGCTCTTCCTATAGACAG